TGGTAGATATCATTCAAGAATATTTATTCACATCCAGGTCCCCGAATGCACTGGGTGTGTGACACTGCAGTGAATGGACTCAGGGAGTCTGCCTTTTCTCATTAGGACGGTGGAGGGATTGTAGGGTCCACCTCCTAGGAGGAGTGAGGAATCATTAGACAAAAGATACAAGATGTTATGCACATGGGGTAATGAGTGTCAGTCCTACTGCTAAGTAGCTTTGTGGGATTTAAACAACAGCATAAAATCACCATGTCATGGAAACCACAGTGAGTGCCCTCATCTCTTATCTGAGCATTCAGAAAGGTGATTTTTGTGGCCTCCCCCACACAGCACCAGTTTGGCCTTGAGTTTCTGTCTATCTACTGCTGCATGAGAGTGGTGGTGGGGACCCAGGTGGAGGTATGTGAGAGAACTTAGGCAGAGGGCCCTGCTTGGCATGGATGCCAGATGTCTCCTGATGGCAGTTTCCTTTGGGCTTTCTGAGAATTTTACCCAGGGTCCAACTGGGAAGTTTTGCCTGCCTTGTACTCCTGCCTCTGTTACAAGAGTAAGTTATTTAGGTTCCTCAGAGGAGACTGTACTTCTCAGGTGGCTCCCCTAGATCTTGACTGTAACACTGGCAGAGTCCTTGGAGATACTCTTTCCAGTCTTGTCCAAGTAAACAATCTAAGCTAATTTATTTGAGACAGTGACTCATATAGCTCAGGCTGAGCTTGAACTCCCTATGTAGTCCAGGATGACCCTCACCTGATCCTCCTGCTTCTACCTCCTGAGTGCTGAGGTTACAAGCAAGTGCCACCAATCCTTGTTTTAGGTTTTGTGTGGTTTCTTGAGCTGGGGCTGGAACCACAGGCTTTTAACATGTTAGGCACACACTCTACCAACTGAGCTACATCCATATCCTCAATCAAAGCTTATTTTGAACTAAGTGTATCTCCTGTGCTTAGATAGGACACAGTCACTGCATAATCAACTGGAGATATAGAACTCCAAAGAAGTTCTTTCTCAAATGAAGGGTACTGTTCTAAACTGCATGATACCAGTAGCTGGGGCGTTCATAGCAGACCTGTTCTTCACAGCAGTCATGGTCTTCAGAGGCATTTCTGTCAAATGAGTCATTTGGAGAACTGAAGACTTTTTAATGGCCAAAGGGGAGTTACAGTATGAAAACCTGTATTTCAGAGTGAGAATTTTATTAAAATATATTACTATTTTTAAGCTACCATACAAATATCCTTTGTATTGATCTCACTGTGATGAACTGACTGAATAAATATGCCAATTTCTTCCAGTGAGCCAAACAGTATTTTTAAACTACTTTAAAATATGTGTTGTTTCCTATGGTTTTTAAAACTCTGGAGTTGATTATGAAAGCAATTTCAATTTTTAAAAATTCTTCTTTCCAGAGAACATACATATATATATTTTAAACTATCAGATGTAAAGCTTAATGGGGTGGGCCATTATTTTCTAAGGTGAAAAAGAAAGTGGATTATTGTGATGCTTAATCTTGATTGTCAACTTGATTTGACTTAAAACACCTGGGACACCAACTTATGGGTATGTCTTTGAGGACTGTTTCCAGAGAGATCTAACCAAGGAGTGAAGACCAACCCTGAATGTGGACGGTACCATAGGTTGGAGTCCCCACCAAGTAAAAAGGAGAAAGCAAGAGGAACCAGCATTCACCTCTCTCTGCTTCCTGACTGAGGATGCCACGTGACCTGTCCCCTCACTCTCCTGCTGTCATGCCTTCTCGTCATTATGGATTATGCCCTCAAACCATGAGCCAAAGTAAATCCTTCCTTCCTCGGTTGCCTTTGTTGGGTATTTTGTCACAGAAGTCAGAAAGGTAATTAATGCAAAAAATTGGTACCAGGAGCAGGGTCACTGCTGTGATAATCATAATCACTTGGGTTTGGGATAATCATAATCACTTGGGAGCTAGTTTGTTAGAGGAAGGTAAAGAGCTTGGAGCTCGGGACTAGAGAAGCCCTAGAATGACATGAGAAGAGAGTAGCGGGCCACTTTTGTGGCAGGTCTGCAATGATGGAGAGCAGCAGTCCAGTGGAAAAGCACGAAGTGTGCAGTGTGACGAGAAAGGAGTACAGCAAGTTTAAAGCCAGAGACAAAGCAGGAAGCAGCTACAGTTGTTGAAGAAATCAGTGTCAGAAAAGGAAACTGGCACTCTAGGACAACAGGAAAGGTATCCTGAGGGCAAGACCTCACACAAAAGCTCCAACTTGTGAAAAACGTAAATTCATTTGAAAAATAATAGAAAGCCTACATTAAGAATGCCATGACCAGAGCCAGAGGACAGGCTCACCCCAAATGGCCACTGAGTAAAGTGTTTTCCCGGGGTCTGCCTCAAAGGCACACAAAGGTTGTTTATAACTGTTGTCTGAGAGGGTTATGCTACACCTTGATCTGGCAGCACAACTTGGAAGCATTTTCCAAGTGGCACTGGTTTTGCAGGCATTGAGGACACAGGAATAGAGGAGTCACAGAGGTTAGCACCAGGGTTCTAGAAGCTACTGAAGCCAGGCAGTATGTAGGTGTGTCAGGTCAGACTCCCCGTAAGGAGGCATTAAGAGAGCATGAGGCTGAGAAGGTGAAGCCCAAGTTGCAATGGAGACCCCAGGATATTGGACATGCTAGTAATGGGGACTGCGCTCCGAGAACTGTAGGCATGAGGTTCAACTGGGTCAAGAGAGAGTCTATGTGCACAGTAGGCACCAGAACCAGAGGACTGCAGCAACCCAAGGGAGCTGCAGCCCAGATAATGCCACCAAGAGCCCCAGATCCCAGACATGGAACTACAGGATTGGGTGTTTGCCCTGCTGTGATCCAGTCGTGCATTGGCTGAGTCTTTGCTTGCTTTATCCCATTCCTTCTTTTTTTGGAATGAGAATGTTTCCTTCATGATATTGTATATGAGATGTACATGACTTGTAGGCTTGATTTTTATAGGGCTCATGGATAAGAGATTTCCTAAATCTCATAAAGAGACTGTATTTACACTTCTGAATTTTTAGATTCAGATAGTGGAGACTTGTAGAGATGAACTAAATGTATTTTGCATTATAAAATGAACATGAGATTTTAGGGATCAGGGATGGAATGCTATGATTTAAAAATGATATGCCTGGGTGTCAAGCTGATAAAATGAAGACTTGCGATAGTTAATCTTGATTATCAACTTGGCAGGGCTTAGATTCACCTAGGAGACAAACTTCTATCCCTGTGTGAGGGGGTGTTTAATTTAGGCAGGAAGACCCACCCCGGATGTGATGGCATCATCTGACAGGCTGGAGTCTCAAGTGAGTGAAGAACAGAAAGGGTGGGGAGCATCTCTCTCTGTTTCTTGACTGAGGATGCCGTGTGATTAGCTGCCTTATGCTCATGCTGCTATGACTCCCCATCATGGTGGAATGCACCCTCAAACTGTACCAAACCAAAATTTCCTGCTTTAAATGGCTTTCATGTGGAATTTTTCACAGGAGCAAAAAGAATAACTAACACATACATAATGTAACATTACATTGGAGACTACTACAACAAAGGGAAGCCTGAGTAACAATTCTTCAAATACGTAACAAATACTCATTACCTATTTGTGTACTTAATCAGGGCCCTTCCAGGAGTTTTGGGATTTTCAGAAGTTAAGGGAAGGACTGGGGAGATAGCTCATTTGCCAAAATGACTCCGTGTGTAGATCTGGAGACCTGAGTTCAGATCCCAGAAAACATGTAAAAGCCAGATGCAGTGGCACAGGGATCTGTAATCCCGGAAGCAGAGTCAGGAAAATCACAAGAGCATAGGCCAGCTATGCTGTGTGGTAATGAACAAGCAGGACCCTGCCTCAAACAAGACAAAGAACAAAGTTTGTTCTCTGACCTCTGTACACACACACACACACACACACACACACAAGAGAGAGAGAGAGAGAGAGAGAGAGAGAGAGAGAGAGAGAGAGAGGGGTGCAAAAAAAAAA